GAATTAGAAGAAAATTTGCTTTTTTTAAAAAAAATCTCGCTTCGCTCTTTTCACTGTTTTTAGGAGAAGGGGTTGGCCCACCATGATCACCCTAGCACGAAATACATGCGTTAGCACTCTAATTTATGGTTATTGATAGCCAATACTAGACCATCCGAAACCGTAAATTAGGAGTGCTAACGCATGGATTTCGTGCTATGGTCATCCCCAACTCCGTCCTTGGTTTCGATAGAACTGTCACGTAACACATTACTCTTCAAAATACTTAACAGATATATAATAACGTATACCTTACTCAAGACCGTAAATCATCACGAAGCATGTAGTTTTCAGTTTTCAGCTGTATCCAGTTTGAATGCAGTAGGTGAGACTGCACGGCGAGTTGTGTGCGGCAAGACGCAATCACATTCTGGCCTGCAATCACACCCAACACACTCTGGCTTCAATCACACCCAAAAAGTAGTCGATTGTGTTACATATTAACGGGTATGTGAAAATTAATTTGATAAAAATTAATGTACCCTTCAATAAAGCAATTACAGTAGTAGCAGTAGTATAAGTTACAATAATAATAATTATATTAATAATAATAATAACAATAACTGGTTTGTGATTGCACACACATTGCATACAAAGCGTTGCATCCGTGGGATATGGATAGAGGTTGAGGTAGCCTGGAAAATGGCCTTTATTCTGGAGATGATAAATAAATAAACAGATAAACAATCTGATAATTTTCTGTAAGCATTCCCCAGCACAGTATATCAAACTGTAGTAAACATCTGTGATTCTTTGACAGATTGGTCCCCCCCCCCCCCCCAACCTCAAAATCAGTACCATGGATCTGGATGACATTTGGCAGGTTGGTAGAGTTAATCGTTTATTCATGTGTTCCAAAAAATCTAAATGAGCTAAAAATTAGGAAAATATTTCTCTGATTACACACTTGAAAACACAAATCCTTATGTCCTTCACCTTGCTCTTTCAAAGTTTTTTAAAGGTTAAAACTAACAAAAAAATAACATAAACAAACAGTTATAATTCCAAATGATTTTATTGAATTGAAATGAAAAGTGAAACGGTTCATTTTGTGCACCTGCACCGTCCATCTATTCAGCAGCAAATACACAGATCTACGTGATTAGTCAGCAGAAATGAGGCTTCTTCATAACATCTACACGGTCACAACAATCTAGTCAGGTCCAAATAATTACCGATGTATAGGAGTCTAGCTGAAAATTTACTTGATGGGACTTAAGTGAATGGAATCATTTCTATCTCGTATCAGTGTCCCCCCTGCAGTCCACACTAACTGAAATAACTAAATAAATAAAACAACAACAAATACACCTCACTTGTGCCGAAGATGAAAATTACAATTGCAAGCAAACTATATCAGCTAACCAATCATTAAGTGCATGACAAAAGTTCTGCTAGATCCCATTCAGCATTATCATTATAAATATTCACAACTGAACATATACAGAACAAGCAAAATGTTTATAAAAAGTTTCATAAATGATGATCTGTACACTCAAGATAAGATTAGCAATCAATTTTTGACTAATATATACTCATTTTGCATTATATATATAACACTGCCCTAAAACTTGTATGCTTTATATCAAAATTACATGAAAGTTTCATCTACCAATATTCTTGGTTCAGGGGCCAGTGGCACAAGAGACTTTAGTCTTAGAAATTGGTCTAAACTTTTAAACAAAATTTTATGCTTTTTTTTCAGTTCAAGATAAGACCATAGCAATCCAATCAAGAGCTGTACCTAGCTTGGTCTACAATAGACTCAGTTTTTCATTGAATTGGACTATCAGTGACATATCTTGGATCAAACTAGACTAAAATTTAGGCCTATCAGTTTAGATCAATTTTCTGGCTAAAATAATTTTGTGAAACCAGCTCAGGTACTCAAATACAGGAAATAATAATAATAAAATCTTTCAAGTACAACTTAGTATGACAATGACAGCTTTGGTTTATTACCCACCTTTTATGAATTCTATTACATACTGATAAAAAATGAATTCATCTCTAGAGTTCTTTAGTTCATATCTGTAAAAAATAATTCATCTAAAATAAACAAAGTTGAAATTTATTCAATAAAACAAATGGAGTAGCTATAAAATAGAAAACCATGTACTTGTATAAAAGAAAAACAAGATCCTTGGGCACACTGAAAGCAGGAATACGTGAAAAGTTAATAAAAACAGTTGAAAAAAGCAGTTTGGCAATCAAAACAAAATCAGAAGTATCAAGAAATAAACCCCCTCAATTATGTGTTTATTTCTTGCTATGCCAGTTTGTTAACTGCAAATGCCAATGGAAAACATCAGTTCCTTTATCACAATTTACAGATCTGAACTAAAATTTGTGTAAAATTAAAATTTGAAACAGTAAACAGTTCTTTGCTTTCACTTCAAAATTCTTAAATAATACCACACACTATGCAGCACACATATCAAAGCATGATATAGGTTCTGGCACTACTTACAGGATATTTCTAACAATTCATTTCTTAGTAAGGACATTAAAACAATGATTTATTCACCAATTCAAAAACAGTATTCCAATGCAATCATTTCAAAAGCAATTCAATTTAGCAGCTTGTGTTTTATTTTTTAAAAAAAGACACAGGATTCAGGCAACAGTTTCTTAGTAGGAAGGTGAATATCGCTCATGACTTGATAGATAAAATTGCAGAAATTCACCCCAAGTTACCAATGTCAAAAAGAAAAAAAATATATCTATATATATATATATATATATGCCCCATTTATCTTAACCATTTATAAGAACATTAACAGTGCTAGAAAGATCACAGAACAGTTACAGTAGAATGCATGCTTCCACAGGAGTCCACATGCAACAACGACAGTATATAACAACATGCTACGCACAAGTAAACAGGAAACACATGTGCATGACACATTGAAAAATCATGAACATGTGTAAAATTCACCACTAGTAGATTATTAAAAACATTCAAAATCTGAAAGAGCTAATAACTGAGAAAATATTTCACAGATTACACAATTGAAAATATACACACATACATAATATATATTTATATATGTATTCACATATATCCTTAAACCCTAAACCTTGTAAGAAAATTTACACTTGGGTCCTAAAATTTTTATAGAAAATCTCTATAAGTTGCGACTTAGAGTTGGTCACCATTTCATGGCAGTCCTGAGTAGGACTGACTGTAACAAACATGCACCAGGCTTCATCTAGCCATTGCATTTAATAAAGCTTATCAGTGAGAATTGACAAGGTATCCCAAGACATTCGCGTGTCAGCTATATATGCACCTACCAAATTATAAAACTCAACCATCATAACTAAAAAAACATCACTTTTGCCCTGAAGTATATAAATACATATGAATTTTTCCAAGATCTTACCATTTCTATAATTTGGAAGGTAAATGTACTGACAACTGATGGAAATGGGACCTTTTCTCCCACACAAGACTAGCTGGCAAGTTTGAGTCTGCATTTGCTGTTATATCTAGCAATTGCAACATTATGGATAATTATGTGGAGTGTGTTACATTTTTATTGATATTGATGTCCTCATGAGGCAACAGCAATGGTAACACTTGAAAAAACACTTAAGACTATTTCATACGTACACCAAAGCCAACAAATATGCAATTTGGGGATGGGGTGGATGGGTGGGTCCATGTCATATAGTCTCTGCAGTCGGGGGTGGGTGAATGTCCTAGCGTTTGATGTTTAAACAAATGAGATTTCTTACTGAAAGAAAAGACGAAAAGTGACGAACTTTACAATACTGATATTGAAAAAAAAAAAAAAGAATCATTTCCAACTGTAGGTTATTCTCAATAATAAAAATAACTTAACAATTTTTTTCATTTTCTTAATTTTCTGTACAGCATGAGATGATTTGTTAAATTTTGTTACTTGGATTTCGGTGTCTCATTTTTTTCACTTTATTTCATTCCCTCATACTTCATACCCCATACCCATATCAGTGAATAGGAAACGGTGTAACAATAAACAAAAATCCCATGAACCACAAAAAATGTCTGCATGGAAAGATAAAGTACAACCAACACATTTAGTTGCTAACACTGGGCCCTCCCATTTACTACAAAGAATGGCAGAAATATGGAACAGACTGTTTTTCCCATCCACCACAAATAAAAAAACAAAATTGACACAAATTATCATTTCCACTGTGAAGTAACAGTGGTGTAAAGTACCAGAACAGTGTAAAACATGATTGACTGGCCATAATATCATACATGTACATGTATATATACAAGAGCTATCTCCCTGCTTGTGTTCAGTACAACACATGTCAGACCACTGCTAGTCACTTTACATCTACCATACAAGTCCCAGCCAAGATACAGTTAAATCTACAAGTCTGATTGTACAGCACTTTGTAAGCATAAGCTATCCATCCTTTTTCATGCCCACCAACATCAGTGGTCTTTCTGAGAGTGAAAGTAAACTACACCATTTTACCCCACAGAGCTAAATGCATGTCAAGCAAATCCATATATCCTCTTGCCAAACAGACCATAATTGACCTAGTACGCTACTTCTCCAGGGCCAGAGAGCGTACGAGACAGAGTATGTTTAAGGCCAAAAACACAACCCAAAATGACACCCTCTGTAATAAAAAAAATTCAGCCTATTAAAAATCCCTTCCTGAGTCTGAAAGCAGCATCCCAGAATAAAACCTCCCTGGAACAAATAGCTGATGCATCCAAGACAATCCCATTCTTGGGTCTGAAGCCCAGACATTCTCCTCCACAAGATTTGGGACAGTCCTGTCATGGATGGACGCTGAGGTATATAAGAAGCAGCTGTCACCATCTTGTCATTGCAGCAGACCACAGAAATACAACTGTCACCTTTCATGAAAGCAAGTGTTTGTGAGATAACAGGCACTGTGTCACGTTTCTCAAGCAGAGAGGGAAAACCTTATGGAGAAGGTTGGTCCTCTTTTTTTTTTTTTCTCACAGAGAGTCACATATGTCATCTTGATGTCATTTCAGCACTAAAATTTTTCTCTTAAATAATGAGCCATGGTTCTGTTCATTCTGTGAGTTGTTGTCCTTCAGACTGGCAGATATACACAGGCTTCATGTTGCTTTCACTTTCAAACCGAACTGTTTTCCTCTGTAATGACTGAAGACTAGATTCACATCTCCTTGTTGGCAGACAGTATCAGTGTTGCTTTAGCAAACTGTTTCAGGCCTGGAAGCCATTTTTGCCTCTTCATACACCATTTCTGCCATTTCTTTTTCCTAAATATATGATTACAAAATTTATCAGAAACGGTGTACAGAATGTGTTATATTGTTTTCTTTTATTTCTCTCTTTGAAAGGGGAAAAATTGCACCAATTAAAGAATAAACTTAATTCTATCACCTTTTGTGGACTAAGATTAAGAAAATTAAATTAAAACAAATTCTTGAATCGATGAATATCAAAGTGACTTTTTTCTTCTTTAATTTTTTTTATTGACTAGGTGAAAGAATGCTAACATATGCTTGGCTTTTTTGCTGAAGAAATGAGCTAAGATCTGGGTCTCTTATATAACACAACACTGAGATTTCCAGCAACCCAAAATTATTGAAACAAAAGCAAAACAAAACAGGTACCTGTATGACAGCATACAGTCAGAGAACAGAATTTCTCCAGTTCCTTTCATAAAATTGTCATAAAAAAATGAATCAAAGTTGAACAAGGTTGGAAGTAATGGCCAAAAGTTCTTTAATAATACTTTCACAATTTAAAGTCCTGAGTGTCAAGTTTTGATAACTTGACATCAGATTTGTTGGTATTTCTATACCTTGTCATTATCCTTGATAAGCTGTTCAATCTGCTGGGCATGGATCTTCTTCACCTGGTCTACCTGTCTTGAGTGGAGCATGGCGAGGCGCTTTCTCTCATCGTAAAATTTCTTCATGTTGATGTCATTTTGCTCTCGTATCCTCCTAATATTGACGAATATGCAAGAATTGTAATAAGATAGGTAATAGCTTCTAAAGATAATATTCTACATATGAAATTGATCAACTGTGTAATAATTGTGCAAAAAGGTAATTTAATTAGGTGTAAAAAGTATCATCATGTATGTTCTTTTTTATTCAAGACATAATTTGCAACATAATCTCAAAGAACCTCTCATAAAAAGTGCCTTTTCATTTAATATAATAGTTCTTTCATATATACACTTCATCATTCTTTACTGCTCATAGGACAGACATTACACAGATAATGCAATCATAAAGTTAAAATCATTTACAGCATTCTTATAAAAGCAATGTTCTGACCTTTCTTTCTCAGCTTTATTCTTGATAGATTTGTCCTTTTGTAAATTCTGTGTCCCTTCCATGGACTGCTTGGCTTGGTTGGACTTCAATTCTTTGGTTTCCCTTTCCTGCCTGGCCTCCAGTTCTTTCATCTGGCCCTCCTGGACCTCCTCCATCAGTCTCTTCAGCAGATCGCACTGCTCCACGATGTGGTTCTTCCTCAGCTCGTGTTCTTCCTGCACGTGCCGTAACACCATGTCTGACCACTCCCGTGTCTGCTCCATCACAACCTCACGCACTTGTGCCTTATGTGTGCTCACTAGAGTTTGCACTCGGCCCTCAGTCATCTGTTTGAGATCATCACATTCATTTTCCCTGGTCAAGTAGAAAAGAAGGGGATTAACTGAATGCAGTTTTTTGTCTTTATTATTGGACATACAATTTATTATAGCTGAAAATCTTGCATCTCTTTAGCAAAGACTTCAGCCAGTCTACTGTGAATAGTACTACCTTCTTCTCAGCAGATAGACTTAATGTCATAACCCCCATAGAACCCTGAGGTCTGGTGACAAACTTTTACTGGAAACTCCCAAAGTTAGGTTAGAAACATGGTGACACAGCATTCATGTATATAATACAAAAAAAGCACAGGAATTGTATTTAAACCAAGCTGAAGACACATTTTAAAGATGTTTTATTCATGACTTTTGTTCATATTAAAAAAAATGAACAGAAATAGGAATAGTTGTTCGAAATATTTTGTATCTATATGTTGGGTAATGTAGGCAACATTATGGTTATCACTATACATACATCTACCCATTATCACATGTAGAAGATAAGGAATGTAATACCAGAAAAACACACAGAACAAATATCATGTAGGAATACAAATGCAGTGCGCTGCAAAAAAGTCAACATTACCATGTATTTACTGCATATTCAATTGTTCCCTTTGTTTATCCTTCTTCTAACAAAATAATATGTGTACATGTACTAACATATATAATTTAATAATAATATTATTATTATTATCATGCTCTACATACCCTTTCTTTTTAATGGCCTTCTCCAGCACCCTTTCCTGAGCAACTTTTTCCTTTGTTTGGTTAGCTATCAGTTTATCTACCACAGTACAGTGTTGTTTTTGCATGATACTTTTGTCTTTTTGATGCTTTTTCTTAAGCATTTCTAGTTCTTTTTGCTCCTTCTTCAGTAGTTTTACATACGCCTTTTCCTGGCGCAATGAATCTGTTGTAATGGGCTCAAAACCAAGATCTGAAAAGTACACAAGATACTTTACTGGTAAATATAATTACACACAATTTAATCATAAACCTTCAGGATAATTACTTTGAAAATTTTCTTTATAGAACAAATTTAGAAGTGAAAACAGAATTATAAGAAAACTGATGCCCCCTTCCACAAATATATATATATATATAATATCATTAATAAAAATAAAATAAAATGTAAACGTACCCATAAAGGACCTGGGGTCCATCTATCAAAAGAACTTAACTTTTAGATCAACAGTTGGTCAAAACTTTTAGACAAAAAATATTTGGTCTTCTTCAATTCAAGATAAACCCATATCAGACTACTTTCAGTGAATATTGGTCTGAAACATTGGCCATGTCTTTCTTGCTATCAAACAGGTACAATATTTCATTTAACTGGGCAACTCTTGATTTATCTTTGGTCAAAGCATGGGCAGACAAAAGCCATCTTCAGGATCTTCTGGAAAATGGTCAGAAATTTCGAGTTTACATTGATGGGCATTTAATTTTTTTCTGTCAGAAGACGGTCAAAAATGGAGGATGGTTCAACAAATATAAATTGGAAGAATGTCAGAAAATATCTCTGGATCTGCCCCTGCAAAGCAGACTGATATATCTGACCTGCAAGTTTACATCAATTTTCATGCATAAATTTGTTTGTGGAACCTAGCTCCCCTATAGACAGAGCTTCTGATCCTGCACCTCGAAAAACTCACTTTTCTTTTCTTCCTGTAGTCCTTTCTTAGATGCACTGAATGATAAGGAAGGCTGAGGCATGATTGGAGAGGAAGGGGGCGCGCTGTTCTGGCGCTTCGTCTCCTCAGGTCTGCTGGCTTTCTCCACTTCTTTAGCCCGAGTTTTAGCGACAGATGTAGGTCCTGGAACATCACTAATGTCTTTTTCGTCAATCCCCATGTCCTGTAACTGCTTGGCACGCTTCTCTTCCTCTGACTGAAACTGCATAGGGGCTGCTAGTCTGTCCACAAATTCTGAAGATTAAACATTACATGTATGGTGAAATAGGCTTGTTAACCGTCCCTTTTGTATAGATTGTAAAAAAAAAAAAAAGGTAATTCATTTCCAAAGAGACTAAACACTTTTGCCAATGAGGCATGATGTTTAAACCCTTCATCGAAGGGTCTGGATCATTTTGTTTCATCTACCTTTTTACGACATATATGTAACACTACTAATAAACAATGCCAAGTTTTCAAATTATTGCTATTAAACAAATACCCATATGCATTCAATTCCTTTAATTCATTTAATTCAATTGAAATGACAGAGGAAATTTTCCCAAGTGTTTTGATGGGTTCAAATGGACTATCTTGCTCTGCACAGAGCTGCCCTCTATAGGCAGCAGTTACCTCCAAATCCCTCAGGTACATATGTCTTCAGTATAAACCTGCAGAACACAGTGGGGAGAGACAGTGGGAAATTGCCTTCTGTCCTCAGTGACACATGTCTGTATCCTGAAAGGAAAAAAGGGTATCTTGGCTTTTAACTTAGTTTATGGAAAATAGGGAATTAAGGGAGTATTCTGTAGCAAAAGCAAGTTGTGTAACAAATTACAACTAAGATGCAAATACTGGCATTTCATTTTTTATAGTTCAACATTTAAACAGAAAAATGCAAGGAGGCAAAAAAGTTTTTGGACTGGCCAATACTGAAAAATTTACCTGGAAAACTCATTTGTATATATGTCTGGCTTATTACAATAATCTCACTTCTCGTTATTACAAACAAAAACATCAAGATTCCCTTCACAGCACTATAACATCAGGTGGGAAAAAAATAACATTTGAGATATGACATTTGGAGGGGGTAAAGAGAAATCAACTAGATACTACTCCAGCTTACACAAAGTAATGAATTCAGTTACAAATCATCAAGACTAAAAAAAAAAATGATTTCAGTTTTTTGTTTTTCAGTGTAATATGGCCTATTCTTTTTCTTACCTGCCTGCAACCCATCCAGAGGCAGAATTCTCTGACCTATCAGTTTTCCAGTCTCCTCAAACACTGCTATTCTTAGTATAGCCAATTCTGGAAGAACAACCTGAAGAAGAAAAAAAAGAAAAAAAATGAAACCTGACAGGCTGTAGTGAAGTTATATTGGACAGCTTTCACCTAGGTTTAAAGTACAGAAAGCATCACAAGATGGGTATTCATGAGACCTTAACATCACACTTGTTTGCGTTTTACTAGCTTAACTTGCTTGCAATCTTCTTTTAAAACCTTTTTTTCATGATTTAAACTGTCAGGAAATAAGGGCACCTCCAGATTTTGACCTGCTAATAAAAGGCTTCTAAAATCAAGCTAGAAAAATCAAAATCAGGTCACCTATTTCCATTATCACAGAAGTACAGTGCACTTTAAGAATATCCTTTGGCAATTCTAAGCAGAACATGTTTGAAATCTGTCACTGCTTCCACAGAAACATTTCACAGTAAACTAGACTATTCCCAGAGCACAGATCTCCAGTTTAGAATTAAGGCATTAAAATCATTTTAAGAACATTAGTAGGAGACCCAGATTAATTGAAATCACTTCTTTCTCTCCTGAATAAATGTCTATGCTAAAAATGTCATAAAAAATTGTCTAAACTTTTCTTACATATCCTGTCCACTTATTTCAAACAAACTGATGAAAACCTTCCTTGGCAAGGCAATTACAACATCCTGTTGATGGAACACAAAGTCAAAAATGGAGAAAATTACATCCGATAAGAACTAGAAAGACTAGCAATGAACAGTGTTAAATGATGCCTGCAGGCAGAATAATGTCACAGGCCTTTGTTCCACACTATTGTATAGAGAGGCAGATATACAATGTAATAGATCCATATAATATGAGCATCTCAGCCGCAGAAGAAACACCCGTTCTGGTAGTTGACCACAATGTACATAGGTGGTGTTCATAAATCACAATCTGATTCAGAAATAACTTGGAATGCAGTCTTTCATAAAGAAGCTAAAAAAAGGAGTGGGTTTCATCGTTCCTGATACAAGTGGTTTACAATACTTTACCATAGCATTCAAACAACATAATCTCCATTGCAAAGATTCCCTGCAGAATAGCATAATATAATAGACTCAAGTTTCTTCGGAAACAATACGCTACTTGGTATTACCCAGTGGTATGAGAAAATATGCACAGGCTCTATCTAACTAAGGATATCTTGGTTCACAACACTATGTCATGTAATTATGTGGTTTATTCTTGAAAAACAGTTATTTTTACATCCATCTTTGCTTTGATCCCACGCATGTACCCTACAAGATAGCATACTGCCAGTGCTAAAAAAAGAACATTTCGCAATACTTATCCCCTCTACACCACATATTCCTTTCCTTAAAGAATTTACCCCCTTTTTTTCCTTCAACAATACTTTAATAAATCTGTAACAATTTTTCAAATTTTTCCTTCTCTAAAAAATCCCAAATTCTGTTTTCAGCATTTTTCTCTAATCCAGAACAAGATTTCATTCTAATGTTTTTTTTAATACTACTTACATCCAATATATCTTAGAATAATTTAACATATTTTAGTTTTTAATATGTTCATAAGTTCTTAGTCACCAATTTTGTCTTCTGAACTTTTATTGTAATATTCCCAATTCAATAATTTCACACTGGACATGCAAATGCAATTGTTTTTTTTTTTTTTTTTTTTTTTTTTACTTATCTGAATACAAGCAACTTCATCATGTACAGAAATCATGTTTTTTTTTTCCATTCTTAAAATTATTTTTACTTACTTTTCTGAACACAAACGGCTCTTCATTATAGACTGGATTCAGTCCATTATTAGGTACAACCCTTGTCCTGTACTCTTTCCTTATTGTGTCTGTGGGAAGCCCATACATGTCCACTTCTACATACGTCCCTATCTTCCTGTCTGATAAGAACTGTCCAGATATCACCTGAGAAAAATGGGACATTTTAATGGAATCTTTATACCATCACCTTGGCAAGTTCCACAGCAAACATTAATTCTCACAGTTAACTCATCAAAGCTAATGCATTGATTTTAGGAGATTGAGAGAGCCACGTTCTAAAAGAATTTATTTTAAGATTAACTTACTGTAACTGAGCAGTGTGCAGCTATCACTCCATCAACAGGACTTTCTGAAAATGGATCAAATGTTCTGTCTGGACGTCGCATGAAATCTGGCTTTAAGAGATAACTGAAAGTAAATATAAATTTTTAAACATTTTTCCCCTTTCAGTTGATTTTCAAAATGATCCATTAAATTCTAAAGTCTATTTCTTTTACAAGATGATCTGTCAGTGGGGTCTACTTATATTACAGTGTGTGTGTGTGTGTGTGTGTGTGTGTGTGTGTGTGTGTGTGTGTGTGTGTGTGTGTGTGTGTGTGTGTGTGTGTGTGTGTGTGTGTGTGTGTGTGTGTAACAACAAAATAATTACAAATACAATGATATTTTTAAATAAAATCCATTTTCAAAGAAAGGTCCTTTATAACGAATTCAAATGCTTTGCTTTAACAATTCTTTTTTGTTTGAATGATTTATAAAACAAATCATTTTTAAATTGGCAAAAAAAAGTTTGTCAAGCTTCTTCACACATGGTACATACTCCCTTAATTTAAACAAAACTGATAAACTACATTTCTCAAAACAGTCATATCACAGATAAAAAAGTTTGAGATCTGCAAGCAGTTATAATTTATACTATAATTCAATTTTACATTTTCTACGAATATATGGATATTTTATTAAAATAACATTAAATACTTTGGGCAAACCTTACCCACAGTTGCCATTGTACTCAAACTTGCCCTGGTTCAGCTGAATGGCCAGGTCTGGGGTCTGGAAGTTCAGAGCAACCATCTGACAGCCTGCATTCCAGAAGATCTGAATCGAAAAAAGAGATAAAAACCTGTTTTCCAGAAGATCTGAAACAAAAGAATGTACTAAACCTGAATTCCAGAAATTCTGAATGAAAGAACGTATAAAACCAAAACATGACCAAATGGTAGGATTTACATTAGTGCCTTCACTAAACTTTAAAAACCTCTTAGGTTTGGTTCTCACCTAAAAATCATGATAAAAACAAGGAATACAATAAGTTTTAAAGTATTCAACCTGACGCTCATGACTCAAAATTGTGACAGCATTTTCCCCAAAGACGTCATCCATTATCCCAGCTACCATAATTTTCAACAGATTCTTCTTCATAACCAAAACCCCAGTTTTTTGGAAAAAAAAAAAGATCAGGCTTAAAACCAACAGTTGAAATTGAATTTTTTGTGAAATAGCAGTTTTCCTAACTTCCAGAAGTCACATTGCCAAGTCAGTGATGTGAACAGGGTCCCTGAAAAAATGGGATGAAAAGTCATTCCCAGCAGCCGATCCAGAGATATTTTCTGACAGTCTTCCAAATTATCTTTGTTGATCCATCCTCCATTTTTGACTGTCAGACAGAAAAAATTAGATACCCATCAAGGAAGTCTTTTAAATTCTGTATGCCTCTGGTTTCTCACCAGTAGGAAAGCAAATGCCATGTCTCCTTTGACAGAATTTACAATTTGACAGAATTTTCTACCAATAAAAGAAAACCTTACCTGTGGCATGTAGTTACTGGAGTCCACTCTGCCTCCCCTAGGATATATCCTGCTCATCTGTCTCTTGTTATAACTGAGAGGTGGTGGTTAAGGATTTGGCTCAATTACAACACAAAATTTAACAGGAATTTACACCAACAGCCACTATATCTAAATGTATCTAGACTAGGCCATGCTACAATGCAGTGCATACAATTTTACCATAAGAAAGTTTAAGAAAATTCTTCCGGCTTTTAAAATTAAATTCTGTCACTTGCCAGTGTGAAATCCTTCTACAAGTCAAAATTTAAAATACTGAATTGGTTTGCAGGCAAGGTGAAGTGGTATAGCATGCAAAAAAAAAAAATAATACCCATACTAGACTCTGCTTTACTTAGGCACTTGAGATTTCTGCCAATCTAACCAAATCCTATGGACCTGTTATGTGGAGTCTACTTTATCTAGGAATTGCCAAAGAATGCTATTAATGGTCAACTACAAGGATGGAATGAAATTAAAGTAATATGTGCAGACTGTAGTGCATGAAAAAATGACCAAAAGATTAAAATCCAGCATTACATTATCTCTCCTTTATTTGAATTTTTTTAATATTCCTTAAATAATAGGGTGAGTGATAAAATTTGAATCTTCTGAAACTTACTAGAGCTTTCCCCATAAAAAAGCAGATGCAATAGTGAATGGCAGTTCAATTCATTTTTTAAAATTATTGCAATTGATCTTAATTTAGAGCATTTTTATCTACCTTACTTAATCTTTCATATAAAATTTCACATATTGCACAAATTGAGCAAATGCAGCCATCTTATTTGTGTTTGTGTACATGCAGAAACCTTTATTTTTATTAACCTTTTTACCATTTCACTCAAATTTATTTACATCTGCAGGTAAATTGAAAAACTGAGATAAATTTTTAATGTTTCTTATGTCTAAATGGTTTTATGTAGTAAGTAGCACTGAGATGCATGTGTAAACTTATAATAATAATAATAATAATAATTATCAGCAGTGCAGTCCTGGAGTTAGTCGTGTTGGAAAATTAAACCAAAAATTCAAAATAAAACACCACTCTGATAATTTGTTCTGCAATTTTTCCCATTAAGTATTCAGTCTGAAGAACAAAAACTCTGTAAGTTGTACTCAATACATTAACTGTTTCATATACCATTATGCTTGAAACAGTTTTTGCCATCAACCATTTCATGCAGGCCTCAGGATATTGAAAACAAAAACACGAGAAAAGCTGTAAGAAGAGCTGGAAATATGTTAAAACAAACAAGCTTGCATTTTTTTTGTTGTTGTTGTTCCATATGATAAAAATACTATGTTCTACCTTGTTCTATAATAAATGCACACAAAGGATACTCACACAACTCATAACACGAATTCCTCAAAAGACCCAGTGCTGTGTTTTCATTGAAGGAGGACATGTGGAAGTGAATATTTTTCTCTGGAACCCAGATCATGCACATGCAAGAGAAAAACAATGCATAAACAACTGAGAACAACTCGGAATGCAATCTGCAGGAGTCACACCAAGCAAAAAATAATAAATAAATAAATAAATAAATAAATAAATAAAATAATAATAATAAAAAGATAATAATAATAATACATTAATAAAAATAATGAAAATATTGCAACGGTTTGCTGGGATACATATATTCTAGTGTTACCCCCTAAATTTCTGTAGACTTTTTGGTGGCATACTATGGTTCAATTAGATGAATCTAATGCTGGTGAAAAAGGAAGCCTACTTTAGGCTTTGAAACTCGGGTTATCTATAACTGGATCACAGCAATTTATGGCAAAGAATATGTCTGAAAGAATCTCTTTTTTCTTTTCTTTTTTTAAAGTAAAACATATCAGCTGTTCTTTCTAACCTCAAAAAAATTTCCCAGGTTTGTATCAAAAATAATTTCTTGCCAATATACACTGCTTTCATTTGGAAAGAGCATGAATAGTTAAAATATGAGTTTCCCACAAAATCACTTTTTATTTACTTATATTATACAATTTAATTTTTAAAAAAGTTAAATGTAAAAAATGGGCCATATTGCAATAAATAATGTTACAATGACAGTGGAATCAGACGACAAATCCCACTGGGAAGGTGTCTGCTCTCTTTCACTGGCTACAGGCATCACCCTTTGGGGCCTTTTTCACAAGATCAATTTAGCCCGAAAAGTAGACCAAAATTTTAGTCTATTTTGACCAAAGATAAAGTGATAGTCAGATAATCAATGATAGTCCAATCAAATAAAATACTGCACCTGTTCTATAACAAGAAAGAAAGAAAGACACGGTTATTAATGTTTCAGGTCAATACCAGTACTGATTTAGCTTGAACTGAAGCAAACCACACTTTTGGACAAAGAGTTCAGACCAATTTTCAGGCCTAAGATCTATTTGTGAAATATGCCCCTGCTTTATAAGATACTGTCAACATAGGAAGAATCTTGGGTTAGTATGACAGTGTGCAAAGGGTTGAGATGGAACAACAAAATTTTTATAAACAGCTAAGATGATATGTACTGTGGAGTTACGTATCTGTGCTCATTCTAGAAAGAAATCACGTGAGACTTTTACTGAACTTCTAGGCAAAATAACTCAATATATTGGAGTGGAAAAGAGAAGCAATGTGCAACACAGTCTCTTGGAAGTACTGAAAAAAACTGAAAGTGGAAAACTCTCATGCATGAATTTTGTTAGGCCTAAGATATTGGCGATACACTATTTATTGGCAACTAATCATTCATGGGTTCTGCTCAAAATATCAATTTGCATTGTATACTTTACTATTTAAATTTTGGCGTCTAGCATGAGCCCAGGGCATTATGGGAACACAAGCACACTGTTCTAAACAGAAAAACACTCAGAAAAATCAAATGAATCTGGCAATTTGGTGCAGACATCATACCTGCATATGTGGAAGGAAACAATCAATCAATCAATTAATAATTACTAATCAAAAACTCAGTGCTGATGGATTAAGAGAAACAATCATTCAAATTTGTATATCAATAATCAAAAATAACTGATTCAATCTATCAAATGAAAGAGTAAATCAATAATAAATCAAACATGAGAAGACAGAAAGGATACTTGACAAATTCAATAGCCTCAGTCTTGAGGTACCCCAGACCAGTATTTTCATTGAAGGAGGACATATGAAATTGAACATTCCTCCCTAGGGTAGACAGCAGCAAGGAGAGATATATATATATCAAGCAAAGATTGAAGCAATAATAAGCTTTTGAAAAAGGGATGCCCTTGAGGGATTCACATCAGAGTTTACCAAATCATTACATAATTTCATTTTACTTGGCATGCATCATTTGATTTATAAAAAATGTATATCATTGGTTTAGGCACATTATTGTGGTGGTGAGTAGATTTTGAGGTAAAAGCAGATGTTATATATTGGTACATAATGATTTTCATAATATTTGTGATACAGATCTGAAGGGAAAAATCACTGAAAATCATTGCTTGCAATGGATCCTTATCTTATTCAAATCAAGTTCAATGTAGAAAGATGTCCAATTGGGAGAAACTTCTACATGAAAACTCTTCAACTCACCTTCCGCTACGTCGAAGCCTTGAAATTTCACTGGTTGTGCGTAATTCACAAAGGAAGAAAGCAAAGGGTGGATGTTGGTGGTGGCACCAGTGTAAGTATATGACATCATCAATGCTGCCTCTTCATCCGCTGTCAAACTACCCTGCAATAAAGAGAATCCAAAAATATTACAAATTCAAATTAGAACAGCACATTGGGGGTCCATTTTTGCTAGTCACGGGGACCAACCCCATGTGACTGGTCTGTAAGAGAGAGTGAGAAGTAGACAGATGATTTGACACAAATCATTTCGACAGTTAAAATCAAACAGATTATCATTATGTTAAATCACAGCATACTTAAGGAAAAGTATTTCAGGCTAATCAGAAAGACTACAGAAGGCAAAGGAACATTTTTCAGGTGCAGAAGGTACAAATAATTGGGGAGATAAAGACATTGGACAGTTTTTTAAATATAATATTAAGCAGAATAAATTTCATTCTACATACACACTGTATTAACTTACTCTTAATTTCACAGTCAACTTATCTGGTTAGATCTAGTAGTTTGCTTTCTTTCATTTCAGTAAAAACACAGCAGAAAAACCAAATACATAGTGTCTGTCCATAAAAGGTAATTTGGGCAACTTCCAAAAAAAATTTCTTTCAGATTTACTGAAAATTTCATAGCTATAAACAGAAAAGCAATATACTATACTAAATATCTGTAAAGGAAGACATGAAAAATACTGGTGGATGTTTCAGGATAGAAGGCCCTACAGAAACTGGTGAGTTAATTGCTGTCCTTCTTCTTTCAAATACTGAAAATAATTTTCATTAGAAACTGGCTTGAACAGCTATCAAATCTGACTCCTACGACTGATATCAGGGATGCTAGGATGCTCAGATGGTCCAAGTTCCTTCTCCCAATAATAATTTCTTTCCTTTCTGTAGCCATCTGATCATCAGATTGTAAGTCTCATCTTAGCCTCAGACCAATGACATGGGGTGAGATAAATATTAAGATATTGGTAAACTTGCATTTTCATCTTCTACATCAGGAAGCTCAGGACTGTTGCTTACTCTGTTCATACTGTCTTCGGACTTTCTCCGCTGCTGTAATAACAAAATTGCTACCATCAGCTTACAAGTAGCGCCAACTAATAGGCAGCAAAAACATGGGATCAAAAACAAATAAGCTAGCAAACAAACAAACAAAATATAAATAAATAAATAAAATAAAAAAACACCATCACCGTTTCCAACAAAATACAGAAAACTAACCAACTCTGGGGATAAAAAGCAAATGTTTTTCAAGGGCAGTTAGTGACACTTATCCAAGCACAGCCAACTAAAGTAACAAGAGTGATAAAGCTCTGATGACACTTGACACAAATTTAAGCTGAAGCTGCATTTATTCCAATTAGTATCGTTTCCAGGTCAATATCTTATTGGTTAATTTTTATAAGTGTACTCCCTAGTTGATTGAACATATAGGGCAAACAGAGCAATTATTTCATGGCCTAGTCAAATATCAAATCACCCTATTCATCACTGAAAAGTTTAATCTCAAAATAATTCTGCAAAATCAAGAACGCACATTTTGAGGTACAAATAAAAAAGTTTTCTTTTTAATATTACAATTGTTTCCTTGGGTGAATCAAGAACACTTTCATTCTACTGATCCAGCACATTGGCAGGGACAGATTGAGGCTGTCTTCTAAGTCTTCTGGAAGATGGTCAGATTTTCAAGTTTACATTGACAGGTATCTAATTTTTTCTGCCATGAATTAAGTACCCCCATGTAAAAATAAGTAGACACAAACATAGTTTCAGAAGGGTACATGTGTCATAACACTGTGCTCGTGGCTACTTATTTTACATCCAGGTACTTAATTCCAATTCGGTGGCAAAGGTTTCGAACTAATACCTTCTTTATTTAAGTGGACTATTAGGAATTTATTTTGACTGAAGAAGACTGAAGGTTGGACCAAATTGGATTTTTTTTTTCTTTTTTTTTTGGGGGGGGGGGGGTATCAAGCACCATGAAGTAAGCAGGGTGTAAAATGTTATAATTCAAACAAATGTTAACATAAGCATTAACACTAACATAGATGTTTTTTACAAACTATCAAAACTATGTTATGCTAATGTAAATGCTGCAAATTCAAAAATAATACAAAAGAAGAATACATATATAAGGAACATAACAATTACCAGAACCAGAGAACAGGTGTTTTAACCATTAATACATTTAATGATTCCAGAAAAATAAAATGATAGAGAAGCTGACTGTTAGGATAAATTGTTATGTGGGAGGGTGGGGAGAGAGAGAGAGAGAGAGAGAGAGAGAGAGAGATCAAATGGACAAATCACAAAAAAATCAATTTTAAAACAATTTTATCAAATCAACAACAAACCGATTATAATGTAAATAGCATTGCCTCAAAGCAAAAGCCACACAAAGCATATGATAATTGGTGTATCAACCAAAAATAAAGTGCAGCAAAACAGAGAAGAAATGACAAGCCTTGCACACATAAAATTACAAGAACAAGCAATAAGTTCATGATAAAGCAAGTGCATTTTTATCTGTCGTATTATACAGCATCATTATCTCTGATCAAGCTGCTATATTCGGCACTGTTGATCTATGGTTTCAATGCAGAGCTCCTTGCACCCCGAGAGTATGGGGAACCAGGCACTACTGTGATCATCAAGGTGGGAGAAATCTAGCTTAATCTGATGGGTCAAAGCTGTTAGTTACTACCTTAGATCTAGACTTAGTACTGGGGCGTGCCCTCCTACTGTCAGCATGCTGGTTGTTGTTTTCCTAGCAAGATAGCACAATTAGGTAATATAAAAACATCAGGGCCCCTCCAACGTTTTAATTTTTTTCCACCATTCCAATTTAAAACGCAAGTTGGTCACTTTCCACTATTTACAGTTTATTTTGTATTTGTCAATTGAGAGGTGAAGTTTTCTTGCCTTCTTTAAATTTTAAGTATCATAATCAAAGCATATTACTATATTCACAAAAATTTACCACCTTTATCTGAAATGTCAGTAAATCCAATAAATTTTGGTCAGCAAGTACTTTTCAATATTTGCTGCATTATATAAGAATAGTGTCAATGCAGTGGGTCCTCATATTCAAGCCCCTAAGAATTTTCATATGGTAAGACTGCAAATTTATCAAACACCTGACTTATTCTTTTATCTTTCTTTTTCATGATCTATTATTTTAGTTATTCACAAAAATGCACTTTCTGATATGTAGTCAGCAATATTTTCAAAACTTTTACATCAACATTTTAAACTATTACTAAAAAACAATGACTTGGAGAAAATTAATCAAAACTTATTTTGATCAAATCTAAAGAGTGATTACCAGCTATGGGACCAGATGGCCTTTTAAGGCAGTTAAAAATGCTATCTTTACCTGCTGTCATACAAATGATATTAAACAACTGCAGATGGCAGCACCACCTTCCTCTGTCATGAAAGGCACTGCATATGGCTAACATAATTTCATTTCTTCTAAAATTATTCATTTGGTTATACTGCTTAGGTAAATTATCCAAAACAACAAACTAACACATTCAAAGTTAGCACCAATTAGGGATTCAACTGACACAAAATGACAGATTAGTTTTGTTGTTTTTCTGTTTGTGTATCACAGCAAAAAAAATAGTTACCTGTACTAGCATGAAGGGATCTGACTCCTGAAATTGAAGTCGCCCAGAAGTCAAGACAAAATCAAAATATAAGAGCAAAATTCAAATTAATAAACAGTAAATGAGACTCAGATATTATTCATAATAGCCAGTAATAGTAAAATGACTGCAAAGACGGAAGTATTGGCGAAGTTATAACATTGCTATTACTGTAGCTATTTCAATAATACAAATAAATCACATACAAGAGATTAGCTATTTACATACCAACTGAGGTATTACAAGTGCGCCTGCAAACATTCCATGCAATGAAGCAGAGGTAGAACTCCATCATTAACTGTACTGTAAGTTATCATCTCAATGGTTGCTACGAGTATCATATACTAGTATTAGTAATATTCTGACTTGCTCACCTTCTTCCCTATGATTTTCATGTTGGTCTTCTTTTCGATCTCCACTGGATCTGGAGCTGTGTCGCCATTACTGAGAGAGCCACTATTCTTACGGATCTTGTCTTCTGGGTGGGCATCATTATCATACACACCGCCACGCCCATCTAATGAATGAATGAATGAGAAGAGAATAATGAAGGCTTTCATTGAAAATAAAAAGAACTTTCAGAGTATGTCACCTTGTTTCAAAATTATGACTTACACAAATTTTTTATCTAGCTCATTGCTAACAAATGACAAATTCTAAAAAATGGAAAATAAACAGATGGTACATTACATAACTCCACAAAGATACACATGTAGTTAACAAATTATGTACTAATTCAGAAGTTGTTATATATCAAAAGGAGTAAATGCATATTTCTGTCATTCTGCTTTAAAGCAAAGGCATACATTTTATAAGTTAACACAATCTAGATGCACTATCACAGAAGGAAATATGCCTATGTTTGTATATAAAAAACATTCCTGCAAAAAAGCATTAGGCAAACAATAACCTCAAATTCTACATTTTAAAAAGGTCTATAATTCTTATTCTATTCTTCTAAGTCTAATGTTGAAACTATTGACTAAAATGTTAATTAGTATCAGTATTATTAATAGACATTGCCTGTTAGTATGACTTTCATGGTAAAAAACATGATAATGACTTCATTCCTTGAATCACAAAAAATATTCAATTGTCAAGTACCATTTAGCATAAAATACTTCATAAATTCAATAAAATTTCCCCAGGGAGAGCCTCTGTTTCTCCTCCTATGTTTCTCCTTCAGTAGATCGATTGATTTTTAACACTCAATTTCATTCTTACTACTGTGGAATTCAATATCTAGAATGTGGCACTTTGTATCAAATTTGGGTTGAAAATCAAAATGAAGTGCCTTACTTATTATTAACTCATGCACAGTTCATTGATCGTAAACAGGAACAAAAGTGCTGAACTCTTTAGTATAAAAGTACATTTAGTGCTGCATTCTGAACAGAAGGGTGCAGTGGATCATGGACAATTGTTCTTCAAGGCATAAATAAATAAATAAATAAATAAATAAATAAATAAATAAATAAATAAATAAAGTTTCAAACTTAGACAAATCACAAAATGATCTTACTATTTAACCAATTAGGATATGAGTGTCTGAGGAGTTGTGAGGTTTTTGCAATCTCCAATAAGAGAGGTGAGTAGATATTAAAAGTGACATTATCACATGCTGCCTGTTCAATGTTCAGTTTTAAAACACAACTGAGAAGTGCACATACAGTTACTTAAAGGACACATTTCTGCCTCTGCTTTTAAATAAATAAAAGAAAGGAAATAATCCGAGATAGGTGGCCAATATTTTACAGTGGGTGCAGCCAATATGAGGCATGGCTCTCAACAAACTTCCAATAATAATTTCTTACATGCCAAGAACAACTGCATACAATGTCCTGCTTCTAGCAGAGCACACACTTTACATACCAATTCCAGACAGACAAGAGAGAGAGGTAAAAAAGCAGAAAAAACATGCCTAATGGATATAAGTCCATCTTCACAATACAATATAACAATGTTAGTATGCAATTATTGTGTCAGCAAGCTGATGAATAAGCTATCTATGCATATAATATGTACTGATTGGTTTTTAAGAACCAGGCACTCAGTAGATCAATTTAAATCAATTAGACCAAACTATCCATAAAAATAGCTACAAAAGTGACTTGTTAGTTCGTACCAAACACCAAAGCATGCTCTATTGCACAAAATGATGAAACCAACACCAATATATGGCATAACTGATACCAATGTTTTTATGGGTTAAGATGCTAGGACACTAAAGGTAGTCCATTCAAATAAAAATAAATAATTTAAGTACAAACAAATATATAAAAATTAAAGAGAAATTATAATAACATGCAAATTATTGCAGCTAACAGCATAAAAATACAATTTTTATCATAAATCAACTCTCCTATGAAAAAATAATGATCATGAGCAAGCTAGCATATTTCTACAAAGGGTAAGTATTTTAGAAAGTCCAATGAACAGGTCAATACTTTGACACTACAAATATCTGAAGATTTATGATCAAAAATAAAATGCATACACAAGATTGTGCCTTTGTTGTCTATTCCTCACCAAAAAATAAAAAAAAAAAGCTCTCGGTGAATTAACTACATAGAAACATTTGTAAAAAAAAAAAAAAAAAAAATCCTCTCATAAGCAGATGCAGGGAATTTTGAAATTTTGAATCACACCTTTAAATCTCTTTTAGATACATCTATTCTCAGAGTAATGTTCTCTTTCAAAAAGCAATATAATGTCCCAATTAATGAGTAATAAAAAAAAAAATAATAACGAGTATTTAAATAAACCCACCACATTAAAGCAATACCATTTTCCCCATGCAGATTGAACCATAATGGCCATTCATAATAGAAGATCCGAGTATCAACTGATCGAAGGACCATATATGGTGGACCAGAGACACAGTAATTTAATCTCGGCTCCATTCAACCAGACCCGTGGAGAGGCGTGTGAGAAGTGGAGAGACCATTACAGGATTAAACAGTCTTCCTTTTATGTAGGGTCCGCCATATTTGATCCTTGGATCAGTTGATACTCATATCTTTTATTCTGAATGGCCCCAAAGACATACACAGATCTGGTGCAACTAACTTAATCATTAAGTAGTATTGCTAGCAAGCTAGCTCCAAGCAATTTCATATAGACAGTGTAGACAGAAGATTATCGCACAAAGAAAATAGGAGTAAGTTATTATAATGATTTAAACCAAAATGCCAACGCAGCCCAGACTAGTAGCAAATCAATTCACACAGATGGACACAATTCTATAACCATGCAGCACAAAAGCACCTTTCTTCTTGGGGGGCCTTGCCGGATCATCTTCAGCCTCTGAATAGCTGTCATCTGTGAAGAAAATTGTGGCATACTTGAATATTATAACTACATGGTTTAGATACAGTGCCTTTATCTTTTACAGGAAATGAATATCTGATTCTAGTCTGTTTAAGACAAATTTTTTTCTTTCTTTTTTTTTTTTGTAATATATTGTAACTCAATGCTCATGTACAGGCAAGCTGCAGAAGCATGTGCCTCCAGCCTTACCCTTTGAAATAGATACATCCATGCGATAAAACCAAAATCTGCTATATGTTCTTTTTTCTGTTAAGGCAGATTTTTCATCATCAAGATATCCTATCCAAAATCATTGAGAAGACTACCATATATAAACTCATTTCCAAGCTCTAAATTTCTTAATTTTACCACCATGTGAAATTCACTATCCTCCATTAATAATGTTGGAAGCAGAAGGTCAACAGTCCAGCAAGAGACCACCTCAGAGAATAGTCTGTAACTGTGTAAAGTCGGTCTTCTGCATGACTGACTACTGTCTGCTCATTCCTGTCATAGATAAGAGTGCTTCAGAAAGTATTCTATTATTATATTCTATACAGAATTTACCCACCAAAATGAATTTTCCTCAGGAAAAATCAATTTTCTGATACTCAGGAATTCTTGCTCGACATGTCCTTGCCCTTGAAATTTTGTTCTATTACATTTTTTAATTCGATGATTTAGCTGTAACTGACTGTCCAGTCATTTAGAATACCATGACTTCCTGTACATTTCTAAAGGGACAATCTATGCCAGGCACTTTTATTTGAGGGGTTTGAAATTTTAAGGTCTGAATTGAGAAAGATTAGTAGCTTTGCTGGATATGTAGACTTAGAAAATATGCCTTGAAGATGAAAATTTTCAAATGTGTACAGTGTACCCTTCAGAGAGGAACAAGCAGTAAGATACTCTCTGTCTGTAAGTGTCTAAGATAATTTTCTTTCAAGCGACTCTTAGAATACCTTTAGCCAGCCGGTGTGTACACTAGCCCTAGTTCATACCTCTGCACAGTGGAAATAAGCAACAAAAAATTGAAGCAAAGAAAAAAAGCTTTAAGTGGAAATATGTGTCAGAACTGAATAATATTACATCATAACAGAGTTTAAGCTTCTTGAACAGTTGTTGTCTGCTGGCAAACCTGCTCTGGTGTATAATGGAGTCTGTTCACACTTGACATTACTTGGAGCGATTCTGAACAAACTCAAACTTTGTCAAATGCATTTACACTTTGGACCCACTACTATCCAATAGGTTCCCAGCATGTGGTCAGCCTTTGTTAGATTGATAAAAGGTTGTCCGTACTGTAAACCCACAGATCAGAAAGTTCAAGGTTGCCAAAATGATATTTTCTGTTCTTATGTATCTAAGTTGTTGAAAGTAGAGTGATGCTTGAAAATGAAGCAATTTGACAGACTACAGTTGGCAACCTTATACTTTCAACATTACACAGCGAAAATGCATAATAACAAGTTCCTAAATAGTCCCGAGCTGTTCTGAATAATACCTGATGTGAATAAACCAAGAGCACAGAGTCTTACCATTGTCCTCATTTTCCAATGCTAGAGGGAGCATCACTCCATCTACAAGAGGATCAGCAAGAGAATCTGCATCCTCACTTGGGTCATTTTCTTCAATAATGGCCGATTCCTTGCCTCTGTAGAAGAGCTCCAGGTGTTCTGAGATAGGAATATATTGATTTATCAGAATTCTGTATAAGTTTACTGAATATAATACAATTTCAGAAAAAAAACATGATGTTGCAGTATGAAAAGTTGGAGTTGATATTGAATGTCACAGCATTTGAAATTCTAAGAATGTGGACTTGTAAAAAATGTTGTGATAAGTAATCATATACTTAAAGGTTCAAGACTTAAACACAAACCAGTCATGACCATTTTACTTTATTCTATTGCAGATCTAGATAAAACTAATCTCAGAACCCATNTTTTTTTTTTTGTAATATATTGTAACTCAATGCTCATGTACAGGCAAGCTGCAGAAGCATGTGCCTCCAGCCTTACCCTTTGAAATAGATACATCCATGCGATAAAACCAAAATCTGCTATATGTTCTTTTTTCTGTTAAGGCAGATTTTTCATCATCAAGATATCCTATCCAAAATCATTGAGAAGACTACCATATATAAACTCATTTCCAAGCTCTAAATTTCTTAATTTTACCACCATGTGAAATTCACTATCCTCCATTAATAATGTTGGAAGCAGAAGGTCAACAGTCCAGCAAGAGACCACCTCAGAGAATAGTCTGTAACTGTGTAAAGTCGGTCTTCTGCATGACTGACTACTGTCTGCTCATTCCTGTCATAGATAAGAGTGCTTCAGAAAGTATTCTATTATTATATTCTATACAGAATTTACCCACCAAAATGAATTTTCCTCAGGAAAAATCAATTTTCTGATACTCAGGAATTCTTGCTCGACATGTCCTTGCCCTTGAAATTTTGTTCTATTACATTTTTTAATTCAATGATTTAGCTGTAACTGACTGTCCAGTCATTTAGAATACCATGACTTCCTGTACATTTCTAAAGGGACAATCTATGCCAGGCACTTTTATTTGAGGGGTTTGAAATTTTAAGGTCTGAATTGAGAAAGATTAGTAGCTTTGCTGGATATGTAGACTTAGAAAATATGCCTTGAAGATGAAAATTTTCAAATGTGTACAGTGTACCCTTCAGAGAGGAACAAGCAGTAAGATACTCTCTGTCTGTAAGTGTCTAAGATAATTTTCTTTCAAGCGACTCTTAGAATACCTTTAGCCAGCCGGTGTGTACACTAGCCCTAATTCATACCTCTGCACAGTGGAAATAAGCAACAAAAAATTGAAGCAAAGAAAAAAAGCTTTAAGTGGAAATATGTGTCAGAACTGAATAATATTACATCATAACAGAGTTTAAGCTTCTTGAACAGTTGTTGTCTGCTGGCAAACCTGCTCTGGTGTATAATGGAGTCTGTTCACACTTGACATTACTTGGAGCGATTCTGAACAAACTCAAACTTTGTCAAATGCATTTACACTTTGGACCCACTACTATCCAATAGGTTCCCAGCATGTGGTCAGCCTTTGTTAGATTGATAAAAGGTTGTCCGTACTGTAAACCCACAGATCAGAAAGTTCAAGGTTGCCAAAATGATATTTTCTGTTCTTATGTATCTAAGTTGTTGAAAGTAGAGTGATGCTTGAAAATGAAGCAATTTGACAGACTACAGTTGGCAACCTTATACTTTCAACATTACACAGCGAAAATGCATAATAACAAGTTCCTAAATAGTCCCGAGCTGTTCTGAATAATACCTGATGTGAATAAACCAAGAGCACAGAGTCTTACCATTGTCCTCATTTTCCAATGCTAGAGGGAGCATCACTCCATCTACAAGAGGATCAGCAAGAGAATCTGCATCCTCACTTGGGTCATTTTCTTCAATAATGGCTGATTCCTTGCCTCTGTAGAAGAGCTCCAGGTGTTCTGAGATAGGAATATATTGATTTATCAGAATTCTGTATAAGTTTACTGAATATAATACAATTTCAGAAAAAAAACATGATGTTGCAGTATGAAAAGTTGGAGTTGATATTGAATGTCACAGCATTTGAAATTCTAAGAATGTGGACTTGTAAAAAATGTTGTGATAAGTAATCATATACTTAAAGGTTCAAGACTTAAACACAAACCAGTCATGACCATTTTACTTTATTCTATTGCAGATCTAGATAAAACTAATCTCAGAACCCATCAGAATTTAATTGAAAATCATGAAGTTCCAATTTAGCACAGAAAAAAGCTCATGTTTGACAAACACAAACACAATTGTAATGGGGCAGATGGCGATTTCTAACTGTTCTGAGTTCCATTAGGAACTTCATACTTTTTTCCACTTCCAGTTTTAATCTCTTGTTCTTGATGAGTATTTTGAACTTCAGCTGGCTGGGAGATGGAAGGGGAACACCCGGTTCCAGCTGGAAAATAGTTAAAAGGATAACAACTCTTCGCATGAGATCTATATTTGGAATTCATTCATGTAAATATAACAGTTTAACAAAGAAAAAAATGGAAGATATCCTTGTATGTGCAGTGTAAATGAAATACATGTCAATACAATAAGTAGTCTGAGACAGAACTGCTCTTATGTCAATAAATAAAATAAATAAATAAAAATAAGAAAATGAAATAATCAAGGCCAAGTACTGTGTCTATACATAAAACACATTTTAAAAACTAGAGGATCAGAGAGGCAATACCGCCTCTGGATA